TAGCCAAAGCAATCGTGAGAAAATTTTCCTTGACTTTAAACTGTTATACAGAGCTACAGTAACAAAACAGGTTGGAATAAAAACAAATGCTAATGGAATGTACTTGAGAATCTAGAAATAAACCATTACATATGTGGGCAGTTAATTTACAACAAAGGAGACAAATGCATAAGAAAGAAAGGAAAATGTCATTTACAAATGTTGATGGGAAAACTGGGTAGTCACTTTCAAAAGAATGAAACTAGATCACAAACACACAATGCACAAAAGTTAACCCAAAATGCATTAAAACTGGAATATCAGACTTGAACACATAAAATGTGGAAATCACTTCAAGATACCAGTTTCAGTGATGTCTTAAAGACTTTATTCCAATAGCATGGAAAATTAAAGCAAAAATGCTATTATAAGAAACTAAAAGGCTTCTATACAGTGAAAGAAACTACTGTTAGTTAACACAGACATTCTACTAAATGGAAGAATATATTCAGACATCATACATCTGTCAAAAGGTTAATATCCAAGATATATAAAGCACTCACAAAACTGAACAATACAAACAACTATATCAAAAATGGAGAAAAAATGTTTTGTATTTATATATACTAAGTAGGAAATTATATATATAAATATAAATATATATATATGTTGTATATATATGGAGGACAACCTTTTTCCTACCTAAGAGTATATTTTCTAGGGAAAAAGTTTTCCCTAGATAACATTAAGAGAATGCTTACTAAAAATTAAGATAATGATTATTAAATTTAAATATATTTAATTTAATATTATTAACTGTGTGTGTTGGGGAGAATCTTCAAATGGCTAAAGGGAGTGTTCTTCACTCTGGTGTTTTGGGTTCAGTACCTCTGTACACCTTGCCCCTGATCACTGCTGATAAGACACAAAAATTAGCAAAAAAAATCTGTCAGTACGAATAAATGCTTTTCAACGTCATAAAATGACTTAAATTTTGCTCCCTCAGTCTAAAGCAATTTTTCTTCTTTTGGAAAAAAAGGTTTTCTAAATGTATGAATATTATTTATTATATGAGTATACAAATATTCATGCAATATACATATAATAAAATTATGTTACAATTAAAGAGCATCTAAACCAATCAGCAAATCCTGACATAACCCTTTACAATGGTAAAATGTTTTATAATGTATTGGTCAAATTTTCTGTTAATAAACAGAACTGATCTTATCTATACCAAAAAAATGCTCAATTTTTGTTATCTTGTTCTTGAGGAAACTTCTTTTTCCTTTTACATTGTATTTTAAATAGTTTATTTTTGTCTGGTCACATATTTTGTCTGGTCACACAATAGTTACTCCCTATCAAATGCCACTCTAGAACACATTGGTCATCCCAGTCCCTTCCCATTGCCTCCTGACAGCTACTGTACTTTCTCTTTATGTGGATTTGATATTCTGAACCTTTCACATAAATAGAATCATACAAAACATGGAGAAAAAAGCTGAAGAGATACTTCACAAAGGAGGACATACTTGTGGTTAACAGGGTCTAATTTCATCTAATATTTATCTCTAATATCAAGAAAATGCAAATCAAATCTACAATGAGGCCTAAATGTCTGTTTTGCAAAAATAAGTTTTAAACTTATGAACATAAATTCAAATCCCTATTTATATACTCAAAGCATGATACAGGCGACTGCTGTCTACAATTCCTGATACTAAAAGTGACTTCTGGCTGCTCTGTAGCCAGGTGCATGTAAGCACAAAAGGAGTATGATACCAGTAAGGACCACAACTGAAAAAGAGATGCGAATACCATGACCAGGAAGCATGATCCCTGGAGAGTATCTGTGTGAGCATCACAGTGTCTGAAATTACCACCAGATCATGTATGCCTCAGCTGAAGAGTGCAACTTCAGCTGAGAACATGTGCAAACAATGCAACCAAAGGAATGCAAGTATTGGTGAGTACTTCTGCCAAATAGGCGAGACTGCAACCTGATGTGTGATCCTCTCTGAGCAAAACACCTACAAATGAGTAAACACCATAGCTAGTGCATAATCATTGGTCATAGTAACAATAACAACAGTAAAGTGAAGGGGGGGAACACTTTTAAATTACAATTAGGGTACGCTAGAAAGCTTGTACAGTGGGTAAGTTTCTTGCCTTGTATGAAGATGACTCATGGTTGTGCCTCAGCACACCATATAGTTTCCTGAGCACTCTCTTGAGTGATCCCTGAGCATCCCTTACTCCTTACACAAGAGTAAGACCTGAGCATCACTGATTGTGGCCCCCAAACAAAACAAAAATTATGATTGGGGGCTAGGGAGAGAGCATGGAGATGTCCCCCTAGTACCAATGGTCTATTTCTAGAGGCTCCCGAGCACTGCTGGTATGGCCTTAATGGCCTCTAGCCCTAGAAGGCCCCGTAGTACTGCAGGGACCCTACTGAACTGTATTCTCAGGCCCTCGCATCAACTATTCAGTCAGGTTGCTGTGGGGGTCCCTGAGACACTCTAAGCACTGCTTAGGAGGATCCCTCCCCTCCCCCACAAAACCCTCTTACAGTTAGATACTATCTCACATCAGGAAAACAATCTGATTAAAAAGGAGTCATATATATGAAGTTGAAATGGTACAGAGGCTAGGATGCTTGCCTTGCACATGGCCAACTCAGGTTCAATCCCTGGAATCTCATATGGTTCCCAGAACCTACCGGGAGTGATTTCTGAGTGTAGAGCCAGGAGTAATCTTTGAACATCACAGGGTGTAGTCCCAAAATAATTTTTAAAAAGGCCAGAAATAAGTGTTTTCATAGATGTGGAGAAAAGGAACGAACGCTCACCCACTTTAGGTGGGAATATGAACTGGTTCAGCCTCTATGGAAGGCATTATTAAATTTTACTGTTGTTTTGAAGCCACACACAGTAGTGCTTAGAGCTTACTCCTGGCTCTTTGCTCACAGATCACTCCTGTGGACTCAAGGGACCACATGGGGTGCTGGGGATTAAACCATGGTCAGGAGCCAGAGTAATAGTACAGCAGGTAGGGGCAACCCAGGTTTGATCCCTGGAATCACATATGGTTCCCTGAGCCATACCAGGAGTGATTCCTGAGCACAAAGCCAGGAGTAAGCCCTGAGGACCACTACGTGTGGCCCCAAAACAAAATAAACAAACAAAATATTATAGGGGCCAGAGAAAAAGTGCATGAGTTATGGCACTTTCCTTGTACATGGCTAACCCTAGTTTGATTCCTGGCAATGCAAATAGTCTCCTGAGCACATCTGCTGTGTGTAATCATAAACCTCAAAAACATTACAGATTCTGGGTTATACTCTGTTTTTACTATGATATTTTGGACATTAAAATTAGTACTTCCCTAGAGCTGGAGATGGAACCCAAGAGTTAAAACACTTGCTCTTTGTGCGGCTACTTTCTCTAACCCTGGAATGATCCCTAAACAGAGAGCCAGAAACAGCCTCTGAGATGCATCTCATCAAAAGTAATGCTTTCCAGGAACTCCATTCTGGAATTTCCTATATCCCAGCGCCAGGTACATAATTATTCTTCTTTATAGCTATCTCCTCACTCATATTTCCTAAATTATTTTACCTCACATAAAAAAGTAATACTTTCCAGGTAAAACATTATTTGTGTTCAAAAACTTTGGCTAGTAAGGAATTGTATGGGTTCTTAATGCCACTATAGTTAATTTTTCAAAATAATTAGTAATTAAATATCTACTACGTCAGGCATTACATTAAAAACTGAGCATCAGGAAGACTAAAATGAGACTAATTATGTTCAGAGGAGCAAACATTAATATAGAATTGATAATGCTAAATACTCAATATAATTCTTAAAATCTATAGAGCATGTTCATGTTTCAGGAGTGGGAGAGAAATGAGAAAGGAATGTGTTTCAGCTTTAAAACATGTCTTCCTATGGGTGCCTAGGCAAGGACTCAAAGGTCTGTACATGCTTTTTCATGATCCCGGTCTCCACATGGTTCCCTCAGCACTAGGATCAACCCTGTAGCAGGCTCTTCCCCCCACCCAAAATACTGTTTCCCCAAAACAATTTAGAAGTCTAGGTAAATCTTTCAAAGCCTTTAGCTTTTTTACCTTGGTTTGAAATACAATTCTGGGGACACCAAGGGATGACATTTATATATGTCTCCTGATGCAGGTACTAGGGTATTCATGCCAATTTCTAAAGGAGTGCACATAAAAATAAGCATATAAACCCTTTTCTATTAAGAAGGAACCTAAAACCAAGAAGATAAAGTCAAGAACCAAGATGGTATAATTTGGATAAGGGGAACTCTAAGGTAGGGATAGATGTATTCTCCACACCTAATATATGACAAAGAAAGAAGGGGATTTGTTTCATGAGGGATTCCAGATAAATCATTTTTTATTACCTTGAGGACTCCAGCACATCAGCAATGAGAACAAAATCGGTAACCAGCAGAACAGTAAATATCCCCAATTGGTAGAGCAGCTACCAGGTGCAGGGAAGGAGTATTGCAAATATGAGAGGAACTCACCTACTTTTGCCCTTTGCACTTGTGAGCCTGGGTGAAAATTCCTATAGTCCTTCCCAAGTACCTGAAGGTGGCCAGGGTCCTGTTACATGCTGGGGAGTTGCATACAGGAGGCAGGCCAACACAGTTCCACATCACACTCAGAAGCCCTGTAAGGTAAGCATTGTTTTCCATATCACTGACGAGAAGATTGACTCATTAACGGAATGTATCTATAAACAAGGCAAGGTTTATTCTTCCAGTTAAGCCTAGAAGATATTTCAAGTTTATTCTTTTAATTAAACCAGTAATTTTTTGTTCCTGTACTATATGTGCAAACTCACTGAAAAAGTATTCTTATTGAGCCTAAAACTCGAGACAATAAAAATGAAAAGGTCCTATATCCAACCACAGGAAAATGTGCCCCAATTAAAACCGGGGCATTTGATTTCTGTTTTGTTGTAATGAGACAATAAATATGCAGGTTGCTTTTCAATTGCTTTATTTCACTTTACATTTTTCCATGCATGGGTAAAACTATCATTGACAGAAAGAAACTTTGTCTAGGTGCAAAGGCAATCTCCAATTAGAAGCTGGTAACACAGAACCTACCCGAAACATGGAACTTGCATAAGGTTCACAGCAAATGGAACAGTAAAAAGCATATCAGCAAAAAGCAAGGGAAGAGAAAACAGCGGGTATCACAGTATTAATTTCAAGGAAAAATGGCAGGAGTTAAGGCATAAGGCAAAATTCATCATGGTGGTCATGGTGATTTGAGAGCTCCCCCATAAGAATACGCAGACAATTCCTCAACTGCAGCTCCCTAAGTTTTCTCCTGATTTCTCTCATCTCCTCCATGAACATTTCCATATCATCTCCATCTCCACCCATCCCATCATTGACCTGCCTATTTGGTATGGCCCATCGGAAATTAGGGGCAAGTCGACGCGCTGGTCCTCTTCGATTATTTCCTGCTGCCTGGTGGCCTTCGCCCCCTGCCAAAGGGCGGTCTTCCTCTCCGTTCTGCATCGGCTGCTCAATTTCTTCGTTCTCCTGGTGGGCATGTGCCATGCTGAGACTCTTTTCTCCTGCTGGATTTCTCTGATCTGAAGCTACACACAGGCAGGGAGAGAGGAGGAACGCGTGAAACACGGATCTGCCGCCTTCGGCATCCTGAACTTTCCCCTGCACCTTGGCAGCTGCGTGTCCGCCAGGGGGCCTCCGATTTGAGCCCCCTCCCTCGCCCTCCCCCGAAGCCCACCATTTTTCCCTTTCCCAGGGTTCTTCTCCAGAGCTCATCAAAATGGAGGACGGTAGAAGACGGCTGGGAGGGGTCTCCGAGTGGGCCATCCCTGCACCCCCGCCCCGCCGTCCCCGGCACCGACCTGGCCTCTCCTGGTCGTCTCCTCCTCCGCCCGTTTCTCAGCCAAGGGCGCCGCCGGGACTGCGCCGCTGGGACCCGCAGACCTGCAGAGGGCCGGGCAGGGGGAGCAAAGGGCAGTCACCGCCCGGCCTCTCCCGCTGCCCTCGCCCCACGTTTTTCGCTCCATCCACCGCACCGTTCTCCTCCGGGCATGCCCACCATTTTTTCCCAGAGAAACTCGACGGATGCTCGCCCCCGCGCCCCTCCTTGTTAGTGGCTGAGGACCCTCCCCTAGAATTTTCTCGCCCTTGCGCCCACCCAGCTCCGGAGGCGCTAGTTGTGTTCCCAAGAAGGCTGGGGGTGGGGTGAGTGGCGGGGTTGGAGAAACCCGGCTGGAATAAGCTGCACAGATTCCCTTCGTCAGACTGGGGGGGGGGGGGGAGGGGGGGGCGGGGGGAGGCAGGCTAATACCACCCGTGTCCTAACACTCGGGCACCAGGGCCCTTACCTGCTTGGCTTTCCCCGGGCCTGATGCCAGCCCGCCGTGCGCTGGGCAGCGGGGAGCTGGTACCCAGACGGGAGTGACGACTGCACCGAAGGTTGCGTCGTTCTGCAGTTCTCGGTCACGTGAAGGCCCCGCGTCACCGCCTAACTCGCCCCCAACTCCCGCGACCAGTGCAGCGGGAGCCCCTACGACCCTCCCCCTCGAGCACGCGCAAAGCCATCCGCCCCCCACCCCCAGCCCGCGCCACCAACAACGAACAGAGGCTGCCCCAGCGCGCGCTGCTCTGCCACTCAAGTTGTTTCTCCAATCTTAGGTCCCACAAGTAGCATCACCTCCCAGCGGTTGGAGTGGGGCCCATCTCTGCTTACTAAGGAGGGTCTGTAACGTCCTCCTCTTTTCCCACTCTCGGCTAGGCCTTTGCTTTGCCTTTTCTGCTGTCTCGCTTCTTCTCTGCAGCCATTTGCTGCCCGCCCTTCATGTCCTATTGCATTCTGCTGTGGCACAGCCACCACTACTTACCAAGTCCCCTAAAGTCAACCCCTTCTAGAAAAGTTAGAAAGAGAACTAGGGTGGAGAGAGGGAAGAGTATTTGGCAGAGAAAGGCAGGGAGATGGAGTGGGCTGTATATTTTTCTACTTTTTAAAACTTCATGCTGCAAAATAGTTTTTTTTATTTAATTTTTTATTTGTTGGCTGCGTGCAAGGCAGACGCCCTACCCGCTGTGCTTATTTTTTTATTAGTGAAACACCATGAGGTACAGTTATAGACTTGCAAATTTTTGTGCTTGGGTTTCAGTCACACAATGATCAATTTTTTATTTATTTATTTTTTTTTTGTATTGGTGAGACACTATGAGGAGGTACAGTTGTAGACTTACAAATTTTGTGCTTGGGTTTCAATTATGCAATGATTGAAACCCATCCCTCCATCAGTGCCCATTTCCCACCACCACTGATCTCAGTATCCCTCCCACCCCCACCCCCACCCCCATCCCACCCTGCCTCTGTAGCAGGGCATTCCCCTTTGTTCTCTCTCTCCTTTTGGTTGTTGTGGTTTGCAAAGGAGGTATTGTGTGGCAATCATGTTTGGTTTACTTTCAGCATGCTTCTCCCATCCTGGGAGGATCCTCCCAACACCCTTTATTTGGTGCTCCCTTCTCTATCTGAGCTCCCTTTTCTCCTAGCATGTATGGCGCAAACTAGTTTTAAATTAGCGTTGATTTTGAAAAGGAATATGTCAGTCTGAAGATTATAAAACGGCATTGTTTAAGCTCACCACATAGAAAATATTTACTTGGGGCTCCAAACAATATCAACATCTCTTTTTGCTTTCTTTTAATTTTATTTTGAAAAAATGGAGAAATCTTCGCGAGTACAGTTGGTATTTTCAAAATAATCTGTAAGCTTCAGCGAGAAATACAGTTATAAGATTATTGGCCATTTAACATGAATTTATGCGCTATTTTTGATACCATAGTTGTCTTTGGAGAACAGGAGCCTTTTATTCCCAGTTTTCTTTTCACACCTCCCAGTCAACCCCTATTAAGTGTCTCCTTTGAATGATTTCAGAAGTTAAATACATGATATGCATAAGTTTATTTCAGTTTTTAATTGAATCACCGTGAGAGACACAGTTATGAAGTCGTTCATGATTTTCAGTCGTACAATGTTCCAACACCTGACCCTTCACCAGTGCACATTTCCTGCCACCAATGTCTCCGGTTTCCCTCTTACCCTTCCCTCTCCCAACCTGCCTCTATCGCAGACACTTTTCTTCTCTCTCTTTTCCCCCTAGTCTTCCTTTTTCACACCGTGATTTGCAATACTGTTACTGTAAGGGTACCATGCATATCAACTTACCTCCTTTCAGCACTAAGTTCTTGTCCAGAATGTTCATTTCTAACTATCAGTATCATAATGGTTCTAGCGCTCTCCTAACTGCACTTACCCCACCTTCCCTTTATGACAAGCTTCCTACCATGGACCAGTCCTTCTTTCCCTTGTTTCTATTATCTTTGGGTATTATTCTTACACTATGCATATATATATATATATATATATATATATATATATATATATCACTATAATCCTGCCTCCGCGCCTGCCAGTCCTCACCGGGGTCCCTTGGAGGAATGCGGGTTGAGTTTCCCTCTCCGCCCTGAGCACAGCCCCAACAGCTGAAGACCTCCAGGACCCAGCCAAAGCCATGCTGAGACCACTCTCCACACTCTTGGACGAGGAATTGATAGAGGAACCCAGGTGTGCAGGACCGGGGCTGAGATCTCCAAGCCAAGGTTTGGGACTGGGCCTCTTCCACCCAGCTCGCCCACCTTCCAGTAGCTAGACAGTTACACCTACCAACTGCCGTGTAACCCCATCAACGGCTAGGATACGGAGACTCTAAAACCAAGCTCCTGGAAGAGAACAAGACAGAGTCACCTGCCCCCGCACCTGGCAGTCCTCACCGGGGCCCCTTGGAGGAGGGCGGGTTAAGTTTCCCTCTCCGCCCTGAGCAGAGCCCCAACAGCTGAAGACCTCCAGGACCCAGCCAAAGGCATGCTGAGACCACTCTCCACATGCCTGGACGAGGAACCAGCAGAGGAACACAGGTGTGCGGAACCTGGGGCTGAGATCGCTTAAGCCTGCTCGGTTTGGGACTGGTTCTCCTCCACTCAGCTCCCCCACCTTCCAGTAGCTAGACAGTTACACCCACCAACTGCCGTGTAACCCCATCAACGGCCAGGATCCTAAGACTCTAAAACCAAGCTCCCAGAAGCATTCGTGGCCGCGCGACCTCTTATTCTCTAGTTCTCACTCTCAGAGAACCTGGCAGGCTACTGAGAGTATCATACCCACCTATATGCCTGACTGGAACATCTGTAAAGGTGATTAGAGGCTGCCCCAAAAGTCTCCATCCCTCTCGGAGAGCCCGGCAAGCTACCAAGAGTATCCCGCCTGCACCGCAGAGCCTGACAAGCTAGCCGTGGCATACTCGATATGTCAAAAACAGTAACAATGAATGGTTCCCATTCCCCTGACACTGAAGGAGCCCAAATATGTCATCGGGCTACACTAGCACATGACAGGGATGAATGGAGATGTTACTGGGCCTGCTCGAGTGAATCGATGAACAACAGGGTGATAGTGATAGTGATATATCCCCCAAATGATTGTGATCATTCTATGTCCCTCTCCCTCTGACAAGTTTTGATGTGATTTGAAAATTGTGTAAATTTTGTATTTGGACTGGAGCAATAGTACAGCAGTTTGGATACTTGTCTTGCATGCAGCTGGCCTGAGTTCAATCCCTGGCACCCTATATTATTCCCCACCCAAGCCCTCCAGGAGTGATCTTTGAGAGCAGAGGCCGTAGTAAGTACTGAGTACTGCCAGATACGTCCCAAAACTAAATAAATAAAAGGTATGGAAAGCAAATAAACTTGCAACTGAAACTCATCTTGAGGAATGTTCTGTTCTACAAGATGATATATCTTTAAAAAGTCACAGGTAGAAAATAGAAGTGTCTCAGTATCTGTCTGGCAAACCATAATGTCCGAAAGGAGAGATGGAGAAGAAGAGAGACAGAGAGAGAGAGACAGAGAGAGAGACAGAGAGAGAGACAGAGAGAGAAGAAAATGCCTGCCTTTCAGGCAAGCTAGGAATGGGGGATGGGGGAAATGAAATTGGTATTGTGGTGGGAAATGTACAGTTTTGAAAGTATGGGTGTTGGAAAGTTGTATGGCTGAAACCTGAGCATGAACAACTTTGTAACTCTGTATCTCATGGTGACTCAAATTAAATAAATAAATAAATAAATACATTTTTTTAAAAAGGGATGTCCCAACTTATCTATTAGTATAAATATCATTTACATTATGTGAAAATATAGAATTAAAGTAGTCCTTCTGGTCAGAAGAATCAGGTATTTCCACAGAAAATCCCTAAAGGATTATTAACACTACACTGTAATAACTTTGTCCTCTCATTGTTCATTGATTTGCTCGAGCTGGCACCAGTAACATCTCTATTGTGCGATTGTTATTACTGTTTTTGGCATATTGAATACACCATGGGGAGCTTGCCAGTCTCTGCTGTGCAGGTGGGATACTCTCGGTAGCTTGCCAGGCTCTCCGAGAGGAGCAGAGGAATCGAACCCTGTCGGCCTCATTCAAGGCAAACACCCTACCTGCTGTGCTATCTCTCCAGCCCAAAGGATTATTAAATAGGAATATAACCCTAGTTTCGTTTTGCCCAAATATAGTGAGAATTATAAATTTGAAATGATGAGACCCCCACTCCCACAAGAACTAATCAAAACACACCAAAAGTCTGATGTGAACTGTTAGTGGCAGATCCTTTACACAAGCGAGCTACAATTTGTAATGCAGGGAATGAATCTTATTAAAATTAATTTTATCTGACATGGATGGAATAAAAGGAAATGGAGTTATCTTTAGAAATGTGAGATTATTATTAAAACAATTAGTAAGTTTTGGTTGTGATAAAGGATCCAAAAGATTTGTATGTACTAAAGCAAGACAGGAAAAATACTGCCTCTAGTTTTGTATCTACATTCCTATGCAATATATTACCTTGTTAAACTAGCCTGGACAATGAATAAAGGAAGAAAATATGCCTGGTACATACATAGTTTGGGATTTTACAAATACAGAACATTATATATGTTTTAGATACACACTATTATATAACCCCCAAAGCTAAGATTAAAAACTTATACCCAATAACCATCTTTTAAAAAATGCTAGTGATTCCTGGAATCTGCTTCACAATTAACGACTCTTGGTACAGGTAATTCTATTAATACTGTCTATTTGAAAGACACTTATTAGAAATGCGAGCTGTGTTATCAGACATGTCTGGGTTCATATCCAATCTGCAAACTACTACATGTGTGACTGTGTCAATTATCTATCAAGGCAATGTTGTCCATTTATAAAATATATTATTAGAAGAAATAAATCACATGCATAAAGTTCTTTCCACAAAGAAAATGGTCAATGGTTCATTGATTAATAGTTGACTCACTAATATTTACCTTTATTGATAGTTTCTAGCAAGGTTTAAGAAGTAAGGGGAGAACATATATTTCCTGAGATTGATACCCTTGTCTTTAAAACTCCATGTGGGCCCCCAAACATATATGTTATAGAAGCCTGAAAAGAACACTATTGGAAGATGGCATGGTGGTGTGGTAAAGACCAGACTAGGATTTACCTCCTTACTAAATTTCCCAATTTTAGAGAGGCATGAAAAATAAATCCTACCATGTCTAATAGCTCTAGAATTGGAGGTGGGGAGAGGGAAGAAGAGATGTTGAAATACGGGCTCTGCAGGAACTATTTCATAGTAAGACGAAGAGACTTAGGAATTGTGTGAACTCAAGGGCCATCAATTAAGAATTACATGCAAAATACAGTTCAGTCTTTCATGGTGCTATTCAAACCTAAGGAAACTCCTTGTCAGCATGCTCTGTGGAAATCAAACTTGAGTCTCTGATAATAAATCACTCACCTGGTGATAGCAATCTTACCCTAGGTAATCTGGTACAAAGTTATTTCATTACTCTATCATCCTCACTCCAACCTCTAAAATAACATCTGAAAAATACAGAAAAATAAGGTATGATTTAAGTGTCAGCTTGACTAGGCCAAGAAATGCCTCGTTATCTGTGAGTGTATTCCAAGAAGAGCAGAACATTTGAATTGGCGAGCAGGGTAATGATGACCCTCCTCCAGTGGGTGACCATCATCCAATCTATTGAGAGTCTGAATATAACAAAAAGACAGAGATTGGACTTGTTCTCTGCCATACTAATTGAACTGGGACATTGATTTTCTACCTTTGGTGTTCCTGTGGTGTACCTTTTCAGGACTTCTAATTAAGACCCTTGGCTACTCTCTATCTCTCAGGCCATCAATCAACACCACTAGCTTACCTTCTTCTTAAGTTTATAGGCTATAAGTACTTGCAGATTTCATAACTATGTGAGCCAAAACCTTTAAATCTTTAATTGCTCAAGCGGGCCCAGTAACATCTCCATTGCGAGACCTCTTGTTACTGTGTTTGGCATATTAAATGTCTTTAATATATATGTATACATATATATCATGGATTCAATCCTATTCATATTAGTAGGTAGTGAGACAGATATATCCCTTAGAATGATAAAGAAAGTTCAACAACAAAAATGTTATTGAGGGTCAGCAATGTTATTCAAATTATAGAGCACAGAACATAGGCCTGGCTGGAATCACTGTAGTCACATGACACCCTGTGCATCTGTTTTCCACACACCCATAAAACAGAGATATTTCCTTTTTAATAATACATAGATGCAAACATTTAACAACCTAAAAGAGGGCCAGAGAGGTACAGTTGATAGGACACTTGCCTTGTACACAGCTGACTCAGGTTTGGTCTCCGGCATACCATATGGTCCCGTGAACACCGCCAGGAGGATTCCTGAGTGCAGAGACAGAAATAACCCCTGAGAACCACTGGGTATGGCCCCCAAACAAACAAAAATGCTATCCGTGACATTTAAGAGTTCTTAATTTTAAGGAAAATCAACATACCAATAGAAAATGAGCAGTGGATATAAGTAGTTCACAAAGACAGTAAACATGGTCAATATAATATAATAATTGTTAATTGCTTTAATAAATAGTTCAGCATCTACTGTCTGCCACATACTGTTTTAAGGACTAGCAGTACAGCAGGAAAATATTTATGCAGGTCTAAAGAGTCCTTCTCCTCAAAGACCTACCAATGTAGTGAATACAAATTGATAACAAAGGAAAAATATAAAGGTAGTGGCAAGAACTAATGAAATAAAACATATTGATAGATGGTGACAGAGTAAAAGTAACTAAGGAAAAATATGTTACCAACCTAT